GCCCAGCCAGTCCCGAGCAGCGGCCCCCCCCGGCCAGCTTCCCCCAGTTTATGTACTGAGCATGACATCCCATGGTATGGAATGTTTCTTTGGCCAATTTGGCTGTGCCCCCTCCCAGCTTCTTGTGCACCTGCAGCCTTCTCAGTAGGTAGAGCATGGAAAACTAGAAAGTCCTTGGCTAGTGTAAGCATTACCTAGCAACAACTAAAACATCGCTGCGTTATCAATTTTGTTCCCATCCTAAATCCAAAACACAGCACTGTACCAGCTACTAAGAAGGAAATTAACTCTATCCCTGCCAAAACCAGGAAACTGTTTTCAGTTATTTCCTCTGTGTACAGTAGCAACCTTTTTTCTTTGGAAAGAACTGGAAGTGTATAGATTTGGTGTGGAAGACAAACTGAAATTTCCTGCAGACCCTCATTCCCAAACCCCCAGTTAGACATGGCATCTCCTCTGTACAGCATGTCCATTAAGTCGTAAATAAAGCTTTCAGCAAACACTGCCATAGTTTATTAGACCAGTAAGTCACTCTCTAAATTTCTGTCTTGTTCTAAAGCCCTACTAACAGCTGTAAGTAATATGTACTAATCTGAGGCTAAAATCATGTACACTTTTATTAGCGATTTAAAAAAAAAAAAGAAAGGGGAAAAAAAACAAAAAAAACCAAAATGCTCTGTTTGAAAGAACCCACAGTTGGGGGTGGGGGGGGGGTGTAGCCGTCTACCTCTGTGAAACATCCCACATTTTGATTTTTCCAGCTGTTTGCAGAACACTACTATTTCCCATTCCTCTCTTGATAACATAAATTGCAAAAGAGGTGGTTGGAGGGGACTGTTTCAGGAGTAAGGTTACAGAAGACTAAGCATATCTGCAGACTGCTCATCTAATCCACTTTTAACCTGTGGTAAGAAACCAGTGAGAAGCAACTGTAAACAGGATGGGCGTTGAGAGGAAATGTAGTAGTATAAGTAAGTGCCTCAGGACTCCCTGTCCATTGGTATTCTTGTAAAAGCTTTTATAACATGCAAAGAACCAATCGTTACATTGTAAGTCAGAAAACTGCAGGATTCTGAATGGCAGCTTAACAGCAGGAAACTTTTGCACTTTTGGTAGAAGAGAACTGTGTGGGAGGATTGGGGTTTTTTTTGGAAGAGTACGTCTTTAAGGTGAAACATTTGGGAGAAAGGTATTACTGGTTTACCTGCAGCAGGTCCTATACTTCTGAACTGCCTGGAATCCAGCATGAAGTCTCAGACGAAGTGGAGTAAGTCTCTTTCACTGGCTTATCACAGTCAGCATTTTAAAAACAATATTCCAGTAACTTTAGATGCCAGTGAGACTGTGGAATAGCTTTTCAGAGGAATAGAACTGCTTTTCTTACTTAAGAAGCACTTGCAGGTGTTCATGCTCGTTTCCAAAAACCAAGCCCCAAGTGCCAAATTCATAAAGTCAAAGAGAAGTCTGGAAAATGTTGTCACAGGTATGACAACTGTTTGTATTACATTTTTATATGAGGTATCAAATAATAGTAGTGAAAGGACACCTTATCTACTGGCTGTCTTGAAAAAGCTGTTAATCTTTACAGCTGTATTACACTATGCACAGTCCAAGCTCAGTTTTCCCTGACTTCATTGGAAGATGTCTTTGTTTCTTAAAGAACATGGCCTTATAAATGAAAATGGGCATAGGTCTACAATATCAAATTGTTAAAAATTTAACTGTTGCTTGGCAGCACTTGCAAGGGGATTCCACAGTTCTTTTTTTTCAATGAGAGAAATCTGAAGCAATCAGATTTCAATCAAGAAATCTTGATCGACAGTTCACAGACTTCTTGTTTTCTTTGGTGGCTTTATCAGGTTGTGAACATATGAATCAGGAAATGTCACTGGGAGTAGGAGGGAAACTGAAATCGGCTGAGGTTTTCTTCCCCAGGGGAAGCAGAAATGAGAATACTGAAATAGTTCTGAGCTCCACATCTGTCCAGGAAGACTTTTTCCATGAGAAATGTCATGCATTGGAGCAAGAAGATTCAGGATGGAGTTTCTTTAGATGTGTGGGTTATTGACTGAGAATTAAGGACCCTGACACCCTCTATCACAGAAATTGGAGTCAACACCCTGACTGTTCTGTAATTCACTGGCTTTGCAGCAAATGAGCTTTATACTATAGCTGAAAATCAATGAGTCTTCCTATAATTAATCATTGTTTCTACTTTATTAACAATGTATTTAAAATTAAAAATAGACTAATATTTTAAAAGCATTATTACTTCTCATTCTCTACAAGGAAAAACATTGCATAAATAATTTCTGAGAAAAAAATAAATACGTAATTCACTCTCTGAAACAATATCTTTTCTCTCTAGGTTCTGTTCCCACATAAAATAATTGCAAAATCTATCAACATTGCAAATTTCCATAGTTTATATGACTTCAGCATAAACTCTACATAGAAAATAAGAACAGTGAGGAACTGTCTTCATCCCAAACTGTGTTCATCTGATACTAGGCTTAGCACTTCTACAGGATATATACAGCATGTGACGATTCACTTTCTAATAATATTCTTTAATGTAAAAACACAAACATTAGTCTGGATGTTGAGAAGCTAAGTAAAGAAAAGTTGCTGTCAGACTAAAGACTCACCAAAGCTGCACACACCAAAGACTTGTCTAGAGGAATTAATGACTTTAAAATTAGCAGAGGCTCACTTTTAATGCAGAACCAGCACCTTACTCCCAGAACTTGGCTTGCACAGTCTTAGCACTACAAAGTGTGTGGCCAGATAATTCAAACTCTATAGAATAGAAAATGTAAATTGAGATATCTAAGCTGATACTAAAGTCAATTGTGTTCTAGGAAATAAGGAATAATCAGTATCTTTTATGTTAAATTATGCATATCGTTAGCTGTTTACAGGACAAACATCAGTGAGGTTATCTGGTTTGAGACGAGCATCCATTTCATAAATCTGCTCCACTTAGTGGAATTTGTTTAATTGTTCCTGAAACAAATCATTGTCCCTAAAACAAGTATGGTTTTAGTTGTCAAATCTGTTTTTTAATCTGTTGAACCATACTTTTTAATCAAAAGTATGAAATAGCTTTGTCACACTTTTGTTTTGAGAACACGAGTGCCATATTTTGTGTTTTAGAGGAAACAACTGGAGCATGAGGACATCTCACAGGATGTTAATTTCCCAACAATTTGACTTCAGTCACCATAACTGTTGAAATCCCTGCTATCACTAACTTTCTACAACTCATTCAGAGAGTGGTAACTCTCCTGGTGCTTCCTTGATCACATTTGTCCTGCATCATGGCACTTATAAAAGTGGGAAAGGGATCTCAGTGTTCTTTTCACATAACATGAGTAGAATGACTTCTAACAAAGTGTGATTGTCGCCATAACAGCTTCACTTCCCTCTGCCTTCCTACTTGTACAAGCCACATGACCTCACGTGAATCTCCAAGGTGTAGCTGTCCTTTCAGACTGAATTTAGGTGTTGCTCCCTCCAGCTCAGTTTATCTCATTCTCTTATCAGACCATAACTGCTACAATCTGACAGATTTTTTTGACTATGTGAGCCTTGGACCCAGCTTAGCAGAAGGAATTGGAACCTACTGCAGTCAGAACATCATGCTGTGGCCTGTGAGTGCCATTTGATGTTTTGTAAAACATCCAGAGCTGCTAGGCAGTATCACTCTGAGCCACCTTCTAATAAGCATTTTCTAATTCATGCTGGTTAGATTTGCTGCTCCTGGCTCTGGAGAGACGGGGCTTCTTGTTCTTCTGAGGCCTGACAGTTTCCTTTCCAAAGTCCTTCAGCTCAGACTGGTTGTGGTAGCGAGTGTAGCGCTTGCATTTGCAGGACGTGACAGCTCGGAATTTGTAAGTCCGAGTCTCTTCCTCGGGACAAGCCATCTGGATGCGCTGCATGCGAG